TTTGACATTGTTTTTGCACTATTTGACATTGTTTGGTATAGATTTGTTTACCAAATAAGGAAGGTAAAGAAACGAGACATTTATTTCGGGACGGACGAAAAGGAAAGCGGGACAATAATTTTGGGACGGAGGGAGTAGTTCACACCACCTTAGTCTATTTTGCAATAAAATATGTTTGATAGGGATAGTATTTATTTGATAAAAAGCCATAAACAGTCATTTAATTTTATCAATGACTAGTAGATTGTAGGCTGGCGTTGGTTTTAGAACTCGTTTGGTGACAATGTTTTTCACCTTATCGGACTTATCATTGATTTTTCACCCAACACGCAATTTGATTTAGCATGCTAGATTGTGTTATACCAGTAATAAGAAAAATTAAGGTTGACATTACTTTTCTAACGGTAGCGTTGAGAATCATTTTAGCGGTTTTTTCATATAATTTGTTCGATCTTTATTTTAGTAATACTATTTATTTTAAATATAATTTTTTCATAACTCGGCAGAATTAGACGCCACTTCAACAAAAACATCATGAATTTCAACAGAATCATCCGAGACAGCCGATTTGGATATTACCAAACGAACTGTTAGAGCATTTCTAAAATTAGACATGCAACTCATTGACAAATAAAATTAAATTAATGAATTTCTCTCACCTTGTTATTTCCACGTAAACGTTCTTTCCAAGTGGTTAGTTATTTTTATCAAATATGTTTAAATATGTTTTTAGTCCCTACAAATACGACACATTTTGTTTAAGGTCCCTATAAAATAATTTTTATTTTACATTCCTGTAGTATGCCCTATTTTGTTTTTAATTCATCTCTTACTCTAAAATCACTCCAATTAAAAAATAAATTACGTGGACTGCATAAATCTACCAGACTTTTTTCAAATTTATTTATTTTATAATATTTTAGGCTAATATGAGTGTTAAAATAGTGTAAAACTAATTCTTCATATTTTTAAAATATGTATCGAAAACCTTCTAAACATAAAATTAAATAATTTTTGATTAACATGACAAAGAACTTAAAGAAAACCTATTTTCTAGAGGTTGTTATTATCAGTGAATCAGTGATGGATTTAAAAGAAAATCAACTTAAACTTGAGGGATCGGACGAAAACAAAAAAAAAAATCCAGTCATCCAGAGATGTAAAACGAAATGTACTATATTCACGGGAACTAAAAATATTTTTAAACCTATCAAATCATTTTAATTTACATTAGATATTGTGTTTAAAATTGAGAAGGAAAAATTTTCAAAATATAAAGACCCTTAAAGTATGGAGAGATAGACTTTTTTACTCTGTATTAGTTTGCAAATATAGAGGTTGTTATTATCAGTGATGGATTTAAAAGAAAATCAACTTAAACTTGAGGGATCGGACGAAAACAAAAAAAAATCCAGTCATCCAGAGATGTAAAACGAAATGTACTATATTCACGGGAACTAAAAATATTTTTAAACCTATCAAATCATTTTAATTTACATTAGATATTGTGTTTAAAATTGAGAAGGAAAAATTTTCAAAATATAAAGACCCTTAAAGTATGGAGAGATAGACTTTTTTACTCTGTATTAGTTTGCAAATATATATGTATGTGTCTCATGCATGTCACATTGTAACATTTGCACTCTTCACATTCATCAATTCATGCATTGAAGATCCTTTTATATTTTTCAGTACAACAATTTCAACCGATTAGTCAGCCACCTAGATCCAATTAATCAGGTGTTTGAAGTTTGATTTTTTTGAAGTTAGCCTTGACTCTTAACATGCATGTCAAGTGAGTTACTAAGTTACTAACAACTTAAGCAACAACTATATGTCATAATGATACACGTTTTTATGTTATACCCTTATAATACGTAGTACATATCACATGATTATCCCTTCGGGGACATCCGACACATCACATGATTGCATTAATTGATAATTCTTTACGAATTGACTGTATATATAGATAAATAGAGATACACGAAAAATGAATTTCCGTTTAAGTTAGTGTTGAATTTTCACACCGGATAATTATGAAAACATTAAGTATTATATTAAGATCTAGATTACTTCTTCTATCAAGTTAACCTTTTAGGATGAAACTCGTCAACGGTTAGTATTGTATTGTAGTTGTGAATCATACTACCTCCGTCCCATAATGGTTGTCTACTTTCAATTTGGCACGATTATTAATAAAGTGGTTGAAAAGTAAAAGTTGTGGTTGAGATTTGAGTAGAATAAAGTGAATTGATAAGAACCACATATTTCATGGCAAAAAAGGAAACAAGACATTCATTTTGGGACAACCCAATAAAGAAAGTAGGACAACCAAAATGAGACGGAGAGAGTACATGTTAGTATGTGTGTCTAGTGTTGTGCAATACTATTGACTATCTATAAACTACGGAGTAAAATTCATAAAAATATATGAAGATGCTAGCTCATCGGATGACTCTATCCTGAGCCTGTATGTCCTGGTTCTTATCAAGTCTGGCATGTTGTAGCAAATTAAACATATGATGTAGGAGTATTTATATTTTATTATTATCTAAATCTAGAAATATTAGTGCCAACAATTTGATACTCCGTATTATTTTCCAAGGATTGCAATAGTTATATTAGTTGGAGGGGAAATATAGTGCTCCTGTTTTAGAATTTCATATCACGAAAAAGTCAATTAGGTTCTCGTGCTATCACGAAAAAGTCAACTAGGTCCTCGTATTTTTTAAAAAATCAATCAAATCCTCGAACTTTGTAAAGACGCTCAATTGAATCCATTTGCAGTTACTTGCCATGTCAGCAGGTCACCCGCTGACGTGACGCACATGTGGCGTTTCACGTGTGTGCCACATCATCTTCAAATGGATGATTGAACTTCCACATGTGTGCCACGTCAGCAAAGTCACTGCTGATTGGACTGCCACGTATGTGCCACGTCAGCGGGTGACCTGCTAACGTGGCAAGTAACCAACAAATGGACTCAATTGAACGTTTTTACAAAGTTCGGAGATTTGATTGATTTTTTTTAAGTACGAGGACCTAATTGACTTTTTCGAAATAGTACAAGGACTAAATTGACAGTTTTCCCTTTTTACTTTTATTTAGTGTAATTTCTATGTAAGAAGTGATTTTCCAAATGTAAGAGAAGTTTTGAACTTGAGGTTGAGATAGGGCCTAGGGGTGGACCGGGACCGGGCTCCTAGTGGGCTTCAGGTGCAAAATATTCAGGCCCGATACCGGCCCGGGTTAATGCAGGGCGGGCACCATTTTTTTTTTTGGGTTCTTTACGAATTAATTCCAATGCCCCACACCCCCACCCAAACCCCCCAAATAGACCAGCCCCACCCACCTTTTGGAAGCCCGTAGGCCGCTTGTTTAACCCCCCGGGTCGGGCCCCAGTCCCAGTTCACTGGGCCGTGTCGTGCCGACCCGTCCTAGTCCATGACCATCTCTAGGTTGAGACTCATAATTTGCGTTTATATACTCACTATTCACTCGCCAATTTAAATTTTTTAATGTGTGTAGGTATACATCTAGCAAATAGTACTCCTATTATTTATAGGAAAAATCTAAAATAATAATTTCAACTATTGTCGATCCACCATTAATAATCGCAACTATGGATTATTCCTGGGTTGTTCCAACTATAGAGATCATTTTCCAAAAATGGTTCATAACCTGTTACAACCTGATATAGCAGGTCTTTTTAAACATGAACTATGTGTAAGCTCTAAATAATTCCAACTATGGTTCATCTTTTTTTATTATTAATCCCAACTATCAACTCTCAATTTTCAGAAGATATAGAAATATTTTAATAAATTTCAAAACTAAATATTTTTAAGCATGAAAAATTAATTACGAATATTCTACAAATATACCGAAATTAAATTAAAAAAAATAGTCATTTTTTTATATTTATTTTCACTAAAATTTCATTTTTTTCTTTTTCCAATTTGTTTTTCACGGTGGTGTTACCAATATATGATTTGGTATTATTTTCCCTTATCAAATTTACATTTTCTATTTTCAAAAGGTAAACTATGATTGAATTTTGTACAATTTAGATCTTTATTCTAGCTTAATCTAAAAATCTAAATTTTTTATTTATTCCATTTTAGAATTTTTAGTTTCTACCAATTTAAAAATGTGAATATCTTGAAATGACGATAAAAAAATGTTTACCAAAAGTTCACCTTTTTCTACCTACCAAAATAGTTGGGATTATTATTACCATTTTGATACACTTTTTTTTACATGTTTACAATTTTCATTATATCACTTAAAATTATAATATTAATACATTTTCATTAAATATAATCAAAACCTACGAAACCTATACCTCAAATCATCAGAATTAAATGATAAACTATATAATATAATTTATAGAATTTAATAATATAAAATAAAGAAAGTAGAAGGAAACTAGAACAACTAAAATGGAAAAATAGAACATTTAGGTTTTGAGAATTAAGATAGCATAAAAAATAAATAAAATTTTAGCCATTATTTACTTTTTGAAAATAGAAAATGTAGTTTTTAATAAAGGAAAATAATACAAAATCATATATTGGTAATACAATTGGGAAAAAAGAAAAAATAGTGGAAATAAATCAAAAAATGACTAAAAATATTTTATTTAAGTTTGATACATTTGTATAATTTTTGTAATTTTTTATACATGTTTAAAAATATTTAGTTTGAAAATTTATAAAAAAAATTATTTTTTACATCTTCAAAAATTTAAGAGTTGATAGTTGGGATTTATAAAAAGTGTCAACTATAGTTGGGATTATTTAAAGCTTACACATAGTTCAAATTTAAAAATGACCTACTATACCAGGTTGTGAGTCTGTGACAGGTTAGAGACCATTTTTGGGAAATGATCCTCATAGTTGGGACCACCTAAATAATAATCGATAGTTGAGATTATTAATAGCAGACCCGCAATAGTTTCGATTATTATTTTCAATTTTTCCCTAGTTATATACCTGAAGAGTATAGATTACAAGCCTTTTATTTATGTTTCACAAGAAAACCATCGCAAGACATTGTCCACAGATGTATAAATGGTACATTGGTACCACGTAATTATGTTGCATAGAGCATGTTATGTATACATTGAACTAAACCTTAGATGATATTGTCCAACTTCCAAGACACAAATTTTTAAGTAATCGAAGGCCCAACCTCTAATAAAATACTATCGTACATCATAGCAGCATGTGACTGTGGGGTGCATTCTACTTGTGGGTGTGGAGAAACTTGAGGATAAGCTGATTCACCTCATCAGGAAATTGCTCTTGAAGAAAATGACTCCCTTCAGGAATATAGATTATATCCACATTGGGCACAAAAGCTTCCAACATCCCACCACTTATGTACTCTTCCACCCCAGGGAATTTCATGAAGTAATCCTTCTTCCCCGCAATGAACAATGCTGGAGCTTTAATTCTTGAGTCAGCTGGCAGGTCAATCTGTTTTTCACCAAGTGACCTACAAGAAATGAATAACACCATATATACTTGACATGATTTTCTTATATCCAACTAATCATATTGAGGGGCTGTATAGTAAATGTTATTTCACTTAAACGGATGACTCGGTTGAGTTTTCTGAAAGGGAATCGGTTTTTGTAAAAACCGATTCCAGTCAGATAAATGAAGTGAAATGTACTTATTTTGCTAATCAAGATTAAACTGTTAACAAACAGAATAAGCCAATCATTGCAACCAAACGGTACCTGCACCTCGAAGCAAATTAAAAACACATGCTGTAAAGTAGGTACTGTTTTACATATTTGTAGTCAAGAATGATTTTAGGTTGATCCAAACTCAATAACCTATACCGCTTTCCATACTAGAAAAATGAATGATCATATTCTTAAGACTTTGTCTTCATTGCAAAATGTGAATCATATAAGAAATATATAAAAATGTCAACCCTATATAAGAATAGCAAAATGTCATAGATGTCATTTCCCTATTTTGAGAGGGTATATCAAGTTACCTATAAGGAACCTTCAATGCAGTTCGGAACCCAGATTTCTCATACAGCTCTCCATAGGTTGCCAAGTCTTGTTCAGTAAACCAAGGAGGTAGAGGAGTAGATGGGTCCACCATGTCCATGATCTCCTGTTTCTCATTCGCAATCGGTATTTCACTCCGGGAGAAAAGGATGTAGACGTTCTTCACGACAGTTTTGGCATCAAATCGGCCAAAGTCAGCTTCAGCTCGCCCCGGCTCCTTAAAGAACGCCAGTTAAGAGCTTCTGGATATGATTTTTCCAAAGATACAGGGGAAAGAAACAAGCAGCCTACCTTCCATCTTGAAATGTAGAAGCCTTCAGGCAGCTTATCTGTATATGTCGAACCTCGTAAAATCATGAATGGAACGTCCAATGTAACACATCCGGCTACCCTCTCCCCATGGAGAAGGCAGAAGTAAGACAGAACAGCGGATCCAAAATCTTTACCAATCAAGAAAACCTAAATGCTTATGTTCTTGTGAGACAAGTCTTGTAACAACACCACAAACAAGAAGCATATGTAGACATAAGTTTAGACATTTAGGGCTTATTTGAAAATAGAAACATCCTTAACATGGTTGAATATACTAAATTTCCCTCAAGCAAAATCACCTCTACCATATTTTCTCTCAAGCGTTAATATATATGAAATTGTGTTTTTGCCTCTCATATCATGTATCAATTCATTTTACCCGATTCAAAAATCTTTTGGGACTAAGAGCCTGTTTTGTAACATTGATATTGGCTGAATCGGTAGAATGCTGAAATTGATGAAGTTCTGACTAATGTACCTGAATTGATTGAATTTGTTGAACTATGAAAATATATATTTTAAATATATTTCATTAATAAAACAAATGAAAAATTATATGTCAAAAAATAGCTAAAATATTGTCTACAATAACTACAGTCAAGTCAATTCAACTAGAAAAGTAACTTCAACATTACTTAATTTGTTTATTACACAATTCAACGCGAAAACCAAATTTACGTGTTTATTAAAAAAGTTGGCTGATAAGTCTGAAAACTCAAAACACATGGTAACCAAATGAGCTCTAACACTTGGATGTTGTTGTTGCTGATCCATTTGAATGCCACTTTTTTGCCAAAAGGAATAGAAATGATATTATTTTATAAAAACATTTTAATCAATTCATTAAAAGCATATATACTTAGATTATTTAGCTTAAATAATCTATTCAACATGATCCAATCTCTACAAGCTGAACTTATTCCCAGAAATGAAAACACCGAAACAAATGGGTCTAGAGAGGGATTGTTATGCATATAATTGTACCTGCCCGTTGAGTAATGTGCCTACCCATAACAGTCTATTACGCAACGGAAAAACTTTACCTAAATCATAATCGTCATAACGAGTAACGAGTATAATCACTGACAATGTTACTTAATATTTTAATACAAAAAACCAATATTTTAAAAGACGAAAAGAGGCTTTGGTTAGCCTATTCTAGACGTTTGTTGCCACTTATGATGTTTTAGTTAAATTCATTGTCATCTTAGACCAGATCGTTCCAGACCGTAATAAACAATTAGTTGGACCAGATTTAGTCAATAGTTAAGTACACATAAAATAGACTTTCTCCTGACCAAACATAATGAGATCAGACCAGAAAGTTTCAATCCAACTAAAAATGACCTTAAAAATAGGGGTCGGAAAAACCGAATTGAAACCCAGAACCAACCTTGACCCGGCTTGAAAGATGCTAGTGTTTAGGGGTTTTTCTTTTTAACGAGCCAAATAAAATACCCGGACTAAAATTGAAAATTTGGGCCCAGTAACGGTCCTTAAAATCTATACCCCTGACCGATCGGTAAAAATCCGAAACAATTATCTTTGATATAAAATCAATATAGTGTACCAATATTATTTAGAAACAATTGCTAATATATGACTAAAGTAATCACGGTGGACGAAAAATGACACAGTGCCTTTTAGTAACTACAACTATGTTCAATTTATATACTCCGTGATAAAGTCGTGTTTTCATTTAAGTCATAAATAAACCTGACTTAATAGTTAATAGATGAAAAATTCTAGTTAAGCCCGTAAATTGAACATAAACCGCCCTTACTTGTTTTTTAGAAGGGAGAAGTACTGCTTGCGCTGAGATCAAAATGAGTATTCTATGAAGTTCAATAAAGTGTTAAACTGTCAACACTATAATTCAAGGAGGTGCCTGGACAGTTTTCGAAATCAAAATAACATTTTACCTCAATTTTCACTTTATATCTATTCTATGGACACCATATTGAGCAAAACTTTCACAATTGAAATGATTTTTAGAAGAAAAGGAACATGGTTTAATGGGAGAAACAGATACGAAAGAAATGGGTGAGAAAAGATGGGACCTTGTTATCATTCGGAATAGCAAGAGCATCAAGAAGAGCGGCGAGGTCATTGACAAGGTCAAGGAAGGAGGTGTTCTCGGGCTGGAGGGGCGGATCCGAGAGCCCATAGCCTCTGTAATCGAGCGAAATGGCTCTGTACCCGGCTTTGGCCACCGCCACCATCTGGTGCCGCCACGAGTACCATATCTCAGGGAACCCGTGCAAAAACAACACCACCTGATCCGACCCACTTCCAATCTCAGCTAGGTGGATTTTTAGCCCGTTGACTTCTACGAACTTGTGCTCTATTTCATCCATTTCTTTCCTCTATAGAGACTGAGAAAGAGAGGCTCACAAACTAATTTGCACTAATCATCTTGTTCAATAGTTCAGCTTTATTTCAATGACATTAACTAATAGTTATGTCAACATATATATACAAGAGATAGTGAAAAAACAAGTTAAGCCATATGTTTTTTTGTAATGGGACGTACTTTTTATACTTTTTATTGGGGATAAGGGTCAGTTTGGTCCTCGAAGTTACAAAAAAGGGGTCAAATAAGTTCTTATATAGAAAATTCTGTCCGGACGTGCCATTTGAGGTGGCTCCCGGTGGAATTTTTTGATGAATTTTTTTGAGCATCTTATTCATTAAGTCTAGTTTACTTATACCAAATTTCAGATAAAAATTCAATCGGGAAGACATTCAAATGAATTCTTGAAGATAACTGTGCCGTTAAAATCGCAGTTATCTTCAAAAATTCATTTGAATGTCTCCCCGATTGAATTTTTAGCTGAAATTCGGTATGAGTAAACTAGACTTAATGAATAAGATGCTCAAAAAATTTCATCAAAAAATTCTATCGGGAGCCACCTCAAATGGCACGTCCAGACAGAATCTTCTATATAAGGACTTATTTGACCCCTTTTTTGCAATTTCGAGGACCAAACTGACCCTTTACTCCTTTTTATTGTTTTGTAAAAATGAGTATGGCTATTGAATCTTTAAGAGTGGTAATCACTGATTCTAATTTATTCTTATTTCAGATTTTTTTATGGGTTGCAATTTTAATTTCATCTATTGTCATTTTTCAGGTTATGTGATACTTTATTTCTAATTTGATTTTGGGTAGGTGTTTAGTGACTATTGGTAGAAATAAGCTACTTTTTAAATAATGATTAAGTTTAACATGATTCTATTTTTAGGGGATGTAAATTTTTAGATTTACATATAATAATCAGGCAACCAAAGCAAACCCTCGAATACTACTTGTATTGATAGCTATCAACCCTTCAAGCCTGCAAACCTGATTTTTATGGGTAAATCACATTCTGCAATAAAATTATTAATGCCAAAGTGCTTCTGCAACCTTGGTCGATACTCTCTATGTAATTGTATTCGAACTACTATGTTGTACTGTCTCTTAAATCATTAACAATTTCTTCACCAGCATGCCCAGACAGTATATCTAGGCATATAGTTATTATGTGTCCATATGTTATTTTAATCGTAACCCATATTTAGATGTAGACTTAATTGGATTCTTAAATTCAAAGTTCCTAGAAATTATTTGACAAAAAGATATGGAGCTGTAAAAGAAAAGGCAGACCCACCTTAGTTTTGCATAAGGTTAAGATTGAGATCCTTACTTGAATATAATATGGTCAACACTTTTTACTACGTACTCTTTCCGGTTTTTATTAAACTTCACACTTTCTTTTTTGGGACAGTCTAAAATAAACTTCACACGTCCTTATTTCCTTTTTTGGCAAATAAATCTACATAAAAACAGTGCCAAACAGTGCCAAACAGTGTCTCAACAGTGCCAAATAGTGTCTCAACAGTGCCAAACCGTGTCAAACAGTGCCTCAACAGTGTACTCTACAGTAAAATCAAATTTCTTTCCTTATTTTGTGTGAAGTCAAAGTGTGAAGTTTAATAAAAACCGGAGGGAGTATTATATAGTGTTATGACCCGTACTACAAATAATGTCTTTTAAAAAGTATTTTAAAATGCTAAATTGACTTATACAAATAGTATTAAGTAGTACGTAGTATTAAGTACTAAAATGAGACATTCAATTCAATTAAAAAAGAGAGCCAAGTTACCTATTCAATGGTGCTAGAATGAGTTCTAAAAACTGTTTAGCGTGACTCCCATTCAAAGACAATAATGGTCTCTTTAATCATATCGGCACGGTTTGATTTGGGAATGGTACTTGTCCGTCTTTGAATAGCTGACTTCATAAGAATTTGGATTGGGCTCTTGTTCGTTTTCTTTGTTAGTTTTCGAGAAAAAAAAGGAACGATGCGTATAATGGAACTTGTTCTCTGCTTGCAATTATATCAGGTATGGTAGTGTTTGCTTTTGGTTATATGTTAAGCGTGAGTTATTAAATATTCTGTATATTTTAGAAAAATTGGTACAACAAGAGTTGATTTTAGCTGAACGTGAGTGACTTTTCAAATAGAGTTTGTATCCATTAACATGTAAAGGAGCGGCTGGAAGTAGACTTCATGAAGTAAGATGTTATACTTCTTGGTAATAACCCATTAATCGTAGCTCTTAATTCTTAAATGTAATGGTGGGTGAAAAGAATGATTGGTTTTATACTTTTGCTTGTACTTCAAATAACCAAAATTTTCTCATAAAAGAAACGTGAATAAATGAGGATATATCATTTAGTTTGTATGATTGGTTTGTCTTAGCGTTATTTTTGCATTCATTGTATATAACTGATTTGGTTGGAGTTCTCATTAGTCGTTGTCCTCTTAATTCATTCGCACCAAGCAATAAAATAGATGTTCCCCTGCCACGTCCTCTGCAAAGGTGTTGTTGAAGATGGAGTCTTGTTTTGCTTTTTCTGAGCAGTTACCCGACCGGGTAAGTTGGGGTTACCCGACCGGGTATGTTGAAGCAGAAACCTGGGAACTCACTGGAACGTGAGACCCGACCGGGTCAGGAGATGTACCCGATCGGGTCAGTGATGGCTTTAGCTTCTGTTTTGGATACCCGCCCTGGTATCAACCTGGGCATGAATTCTGTGAAGAGACCCGACCAGGTCAAGGAGGGCACCTGACCGAGTCTACGGGAATTTTTAATTACGGGCCTTAATTTAATCAGGGCCTGCGGCTCTAATCTCAGTTTAGGTTTTCTTAAACCTATTTAAACGACTCTTATGTACTTGTAAACCTGTTGGGACGCCAATAATAATACATCCTCTCTCTCGTTCGCCGTGGACTAGCACAATCAAACCGATTGTGTGAACCACGTAAATTCTTTTGTTCTTGCTCTTAATTTATCGTTTATCTTTGCCTAATCGTAACAGGTGTTTTGCCGGTAGCACTTTAGATATTTTTTCTTCGAGGAGGATCCGGAGGAAGCTCAATATTTCAATATAAGGAAAATCAACGCGAGTCGAGCAAAACGCCCTGAATTACATTTGTAGGGAAGGAGGGCCTATCAAATAAGTCCAATCAACCATAGGCGGTGAGCAAATCCATATCCTTTTGAGAAGATGATCTCAAGCATTTGATGTGTACCACCTATAAATAGATCACCAACAATTGTTGAAACGGCTCTCCATTGTAGAGCTACACATGCTTGTAAATGGTTGATTACATTGATCTTTCTCTATATTTAATTATTTTTTAACAATAGTTTTCAAACATATTTATGATTATCATCTTGTTATAAGATTTTTCCTTTTGAACTGAAGTTTTCATAGTTATACTATATGATAATAAAAAGTGATTATTAAAATGCTAAAAAATGCTTTTATTATTCTTTTTTATATGCATCGTAGGAATCCATATATACTTAAATAAGAGGAAGAAATAATGTGCTAGCTCTCAAAAAAATCCAAACAGGCTTGGACTGCATAAATTCTAGCACTATCAGAAACATCATTAGAATTCACTCTTTGCTGAGGCTCAACAACACTAAAAATAGATGCTAAAAATCTTCCAAGTATTTTACAAAATAAAATCTTAGAATTAATCCATTGAAAGAAATAAATTTCTCAAATCATTATCTTGAACAAATTGAAGATGAATTTCTTTATCTCTTATAAACCGGATTCTTTTTGTCGAATTTGCCTTTTTTGCATTTATAATGTTATCAATAAAAGAAAAGTCTCAAACACCCTCATGATTTAGACGGGTTTATGCAAAAACTCTCACTTTTTATCCCATTTGGAATCGTTTACCAAGTTTTTTTCTAGATCAAATTTTTATTCCAACTTTGCGGAAGTGTAGTATATGTATATATCATTGGGCATTTACCCCATCGCGCAACGCGCGTTTAAAAAACTAGTATTTTTCATAAATTTCAATCGTATAGTATTTACTTTGTTAATTTTTATATCGGTCCTTTACAAAGTTCTAAGGAATGAAGAGAGTACTAAAATATGACTCATGTTAAATTTGGACTAAAAAGAGACAAATTGATAATGATTAGACAAAAGTCCTTGCCATAAGAATAAATCTAAACCTAATTACCCCTGTATCCGCCTGGTACATTGCCCGTCTTCAAGCTCCGCCCAGCATCTCCATCTTTAAGCTCCGACTAGCGAGCTCGTCGTTCCATGTCGCGTCGCTTAGCCATCGTCGTCTCTCTCCATGAGGTCACACAGGCAGACGAAGCACATTGTTGACGCCGTAGCTCGCCGCCGCCATCGAAGGACTACAAATTAAGATCTTCATCGCACATTGTTACCGCAGGTTGGCGATGGCGAAGACTACCCTTAACGATCGGCAATGGCAGGTGATGGACAACAACGGCGCTCCACTGAAGCATCGGTCATTGGCGATAGTGTTCGATCACGTCTTCGTCGTTTGTGATGCAGATCCAAAAGGTCGCGCAACTAGGGTTGGGATGGGATTGGTCGAGAATTGTGACGGCGGTCAAGGCCGAGGTTGGGTCTGGTCAGGGATTGTGCATGCGGCTACGGTTAGGGCCTGGGTTTGATAGGGTTAGTCACTGGTAGTGACAGGTGGTGCAGTGGTCATAAGTGACGGTGACCGGAGGTGGCGTGTCACTGTGACGAGGTCACTTTGGTTAGAGATACAATGTCACTGTGGTCGTCCGGTGACGGGCGGCAGTCACTGTGACACATGTTATTGTGGCCGGTGGTGGTTACTTGCGGCGCATGCCACTATGTCACTTCAACACATGTCACTTTGTTACTCTAGCTAGTCATGTCACTATTAGATGAAATAACTGGAGAATAGGGGTAACTTAGTAAGTTTAGGGGGTGTTTGGATCTGATTCTCAAAACTGATTCTGCTCCTTCAGGAAGCAGAAGCAGAAGCTGAAGTGTTTGGGTGAAATTACAGAAGCACTTCTGAAGCTCTAATTTACTCTCAGAATCAGTTTTTTTAGAAGCTGGGAGGTACCAGCTTCTGAAAAC